AGTCAACCGCTACCTTTCTCCTTTGTAGCCCTAAAGGAATTCACAGCAATTCTTCTTATAACCACTAGAGGACACTCGGCACTAGGCCTTTCCAGCTCTCACTCCACTTTCTCTCCAATAAAACCTTAACATAGGTTTTATATTATAGTTCCCCTAACATAGGTTTCATATTACCATAAACATATGAAAATACCTAAAGCTTATTAAGAACATTTCATCTTAACAATATTGAGTTATTTGAAATATTATAACTAAGTAAATATTTGAGTAACAACAATAGATGACCCATAAAAGAGTAGCTTCTGTTAGAGGTTACATAAAGGGCAATCAAGTTATTATGGCAGATGCATAATAGAAAACAGGAATTTATCTATGTTTTAAATCGTGTACTATTTAAGAGTATTTTGATGTCATATGGACCAGGGATCAAATCCTAGGTCTCCAAGTACTAGCTGTACAACTGTGGACAAGTTACTTAATCTGTAAAACAAGTAATATCTTCCCCACAAGACATTTATAAGGATTAAGTGAAATAAATTACTAGAGGCGTGTACTATAGCATATAGTAAATACATAATCAATGGTAATGTTACATTTTCATAGTATAGAAACATGAACATCAGTTCATACATTTGTTATATATGTTGGTAGTTTGGTAATCATTTACCCAAAGTAAAATCTTAGGAACATGTTGATTTAAATCAGAATGGCTAATGACTAGAATATCTGAAGCATATAATATATTTTGGATAAGTTACGTGAAGCTTCTTGATCTGTGTTTCCAAAAGGACAAATGTAGATTTTTTCTCTTCCAAAGTCTTTTTAAGTTCAACAACTTTTGCTTGAAGGGCTTGTCTTTCTTCTGAATTAATTTCTCCCTTTAACCGTGACATTCGGTGTTCCATTTGTTGAATGCTAAAATCCTGTTACAGTTTTTAAACATAAGTTAGTAAGGAGAAACAAACAGTTAAAACCATTTCTATAAATATAAAGACACATTAACAACTTTCTTATGAGTTGGGCTGGGTGTCATCATTTACTAAATCACTTTAACCCTTCGGTAATTTATAGGATAAAATCCTTCTTACCCTCAGGGGACAAATAGCAACCTATCTTTCAACAACCAGGGTACATAACAATGACAACAGAAGTAATCTTCTGAAAATATAACAAAGTCATACAAGGAAGTATTTATCATACTACCATGATGGAACTTCAGCAAATTCCCTGGATCTACATGGACATGAAAGTTTGAGAGTACATTTTCTAAGGGATGCCAAAAATTGGTATAATTATAAGTTGTTAGCCATGAAAGGCTCAAATCTTCTAATGAATTGTTTTTTAAATTACATGTCAGCATTTGTAATTTTGAGAAACTAAGAATATATTAGATGGGGAAATTAAGATGTAGAGGGGGAGGGCGTTAAGAAATTAACACGATGACAGCAAATATAAATAGAACAAATAAGGAAAAACTAAAAAAAATTACTTTTAACCGATTGGTCTACAGGTACGGTGGGAAAGCCTATGTCTGCACAACTAAGAATTAACACATGGTTTTTCTAGATTGCAGATACCCAACTCTTTGTTTGGTTTTACTCCAGGTCCAATTGCCCAGATTCCTTTAAAGCATGGTTCTCCCTCACTAGAGTTGTCCATCTTTTTACCTGTTTACTTCATACCAAGAAACAATAGTGACCTAACATGATATCCCATCTTTGGCATCTGTCTATCCCTCCAAGAAATCTTTCCGTTCTTAGAAATCTTTGTTTTCTTAGAACACTTCGGTGTCTTGACCATCACAACTATAATAAGTCAATATGGAAGATATTCATAAGAGTAACATTTACCTGATTGTACATAATTTCTTGCTGTTTCAAGGTTTCAAAATCCAGCTTATACAATTGATGGTTGAGGTGCTTTAGAGAGGAACGGGTTCCTTCAATTTCTGATGTAACAGCTTTTTCTCTCATTGTCTCAGCCTGTAATTCCTGAACTTTCTTAAATAGCACATCTTTCACTAGGTCCAACTGAACTTTCACTTCCTGACGATAATAATAATAGTGGTTAATGAAATTATAATACCTTAAAATGTATTATTATATAAATGTTATAATTTAGGAGCTCATAAATGATCACCCTAACATTTTAGTCCTTGAGAATATAAAAACCTTCCCGCAATTTCAACAAAACCCCAACATTTCTCATAGTCTATTCTAGTATACCAGCATAGTAGTTTCTTATTCCTGTGTCAGGGATCTCAATACATCATCTTCCTTCCTTCCCACCCTAGTTTTAGAACATGGCCATTCTACTAGTTTCCTTATAAAATAAAATATACTGGAGACATACAGCTTCTAAGTTCATAAAGTTTACCAAAGCCTTGAGGGTGTCACAGGGAGGAAATCCCCCAGCTTCTTTGGAACATTAACCAATGATGAGCAGGTAAATATTTAACCACCAGCTTTCCAGTGGACAAGAGGTTAGGGAGAAGTGGCTGATGTCCATGGTGTAAATACTCCCACTGCGGCCAATTTCAAGCTACTACCACGATTGCACTAAATGCAGAATTGGGAAGAGATACACAGTAGTAGACCATTATGCAGTGTTTCTAACATACAGGTATAATAGATGGAAGTGATCTTAAGTAACCTTAAAAGCACAGATAATAGTAAACTCATTTAGAAGTGATGAGTGCTGAGTGTGTTACATTTGTTTTTAATGTTATTTATTTAATTGTAAGTCTGTATAATTTAATTTTTAATAGTAGCTGTGTTTAGCAGTCGACTTCCAAAATTCTGGGAAATTGAACTGACAGCTCTTGTGAGCTGGCCGGGCTGGCCCCATGGCACTACTGGCACGACCTCTTCCTCGTGCTTTGTTTCCAGTGAGCCTCCCTACACATGCAGCCCTCTAGGGGGATTAAAAACAACCCCCACTCCCACTGCGCCTTTCTCAGGAGGCAGATCTGTCCTACCTCAAAGCTTCATGCCCACTGTATTCTAGGCTTCAAATAGATCTACTATGCCAAGCTCTATTGAAAGTTATCATTTTAAAATGTTGACATAACTTCCCCCTGTGCTCATATGTCCAGATGGGCATATTTCCCTTTGGCAACCACTGAACCTCAATATAAAACAAAAGATGTCTATAACTGGCACATTTAAATTTTCACAAATCAAGAAATAGAATCTGATATAAGCATATAAAATGCATCATTTTTCATATAAGACAGTTTTCATTGGGTTTAATACCTTCTCAGAGACTGCCTAGCAGAGTTCTAAAGTCAGTGCTTGGTGGTGAATAACACAGTACACCTCCAAAACATATAGGGTTGGGATATTTCCAAACAAGCAAACAAACACAAAATCCAACAGCTACAAAACCAAGATTATGAACACAACCCTGCTTGAGCACAATCACCACACATGCTGCAATCTTATTATTTTTTTCTAATTCAGCAAATTTCTTCAAAAATGCCACTTGTTTTTCATTCTGTCACCAAATGTTCTATTTCCTATGAATTTCACAGTTTTTACAGGTTTCTGATAACATCTAATACTATCCCATTCTCATGTGCTACAGAATCATGCTCTTAGAGGAAAAAAATAACTTTTAAAAAAATAATGTTAGGCTGGCCGAGTGGCTCAGTTGGTTAAGAGCTCACTCAAGAGTGCGAGCTCTGAGCAACACAGTTTGAGTCCTGGCCCGAGCTGAGCTGCTGCTNAATATTAAATACATACTATTAAACATCTTACATTAAATGATACACTCCATTAAATATTTATACTATTCAGATTTTTAAAAATCTTATTCTTCATGGTCTAATGTCTCTAGTATAATACATGTGGGTATTCACATTAAACATTTTTCATGTTTCTCATCTATTGATGTTTTGGGTTTAGTTTGAGTATGTATGATTACGGTTCCACCTGAATTATTAAGTGACTGCTATTTAGGGGAAGAAATGGGAGGAGGGAGCCCAAGCTTTGGTTCAGTACATAGTTCACCTTCTAGAGTTCATTATTTGATTCAACCCACGTCCCAGAAGGTGAGGGAGGACATTAACAGTGTGAGAAAGCATAGGGGCGTGGTTAACAGTACAAGCTCTGGAATCAAACGGTTGTAATTGCATGTTAGTCATCTGACTCTGGTGGGCAACCAACTCGTCCTCAGTTTCCTCATTTCTAAAAGGGAGATAATAACAATACCTACCTCCCTGGGTTGTTGTGAGGATTAAAGATGTTACTGGCAAACAGTGTATGTACAACAGCGTTTAATACATAGATATGTCATTTATAGTTATTGTTTTATTATTATTATTACATATATAATCATATATCGCTAGAGAGAAAAATGCTAGATAAGATCTAACTCCGTCGGATGCATAAACGGGTCGTACATACACAGATACCAGTTTTCCAGCTTTTGTATCCCGCTCTCTGCCCAACCTAGAACAAGGTCTGTGCTCTTAGTCCCCTCTGGGTATATACCTAAAGTAAAAACTTTCTAGTTCCAAGATCTATCTGTCTTCCTCTCTCTGTGTCTTTTTCTCTCTGTCTTCCACTCTACCCGCCTCCTTCCATCCTCTGCCTTTCTCTTTGCCTGTATTTCTCTGAATATCAGGACCTAAGATTGCAGCAAGATAGTAAGAAGAGAATTTTTTTTGCATAAAAATATGATTTCATAAAATTAACTTTTAGAATAAAAAAAATGAAATTTAAGGCTATTTTAAACCAGAAGAAATTAGTTTCTATTATGCAAAATAAGAGGGAATGCAGAATGACTTTACAACCTGATGCTACTATTGTGAGAGAGTAAACCTTCATTAGGAGGGTATCTAACTTTAATAGCTCTAAAAATTCACTTGCATTTCTATTCATGTATTTATCTCTCTGTTAAAACCAGAGTTGAGATAGGCATATTATTACTAGCCAAATGCATAAGGAACAGAGCCCCAGGGTGGTAAGAATCAATCCCCCACAGCAAAACAGACAATTCAGGCCAGGGTCAAGAAACATGTTCAGATACAGAGGTCACTTTCCTATCTTTCTGTATCATTAATATTCTCATATATAATTAAAACAATACCATTTATTAAGTACCTACTATAAGCACTGTTAACATATATATTGCTTCTAACTCTCCAAAATGCCCTAAAATAATATTAATGTTTTTTCTATTTTATAGATGAGTAAACTAGAGCTCAGAAAAGTTAAAATAGCAATTGTGGTATAACCTTGACATTCAAAACCAGTTCTTCCTGATTCCAAAACATGTGCTGTCTTCATTAGGCTACAAACTACTCCAAAACAAAATTTTATCATTGTAAAATACACACACACACACACACACACACACACACGGTGCCAAAAAAATGTATACACATTTTAACAAAGGAAAAACTGTATTACAATTTTAATACTCAATGTATACCGATAACAAAAAATGAATACAAGTCACGTT